CAAATTGCCTCCATTGTTTGATTTATTTGATTGTTGGTTTGATAAATTGGCTTTGGCGGCAGCGCTGCAGCTGATTTCCAGCTACTTCTGATGTTCTGGGTTGATACTGCTGTTATTCGTGCTTTAGGTTGAAAGCTTAGAAAGACCCTTTTGCTAACCACTGTTGAATCGTTATCCCATTCATCAAGGGATCCTATCTGACACTGCTTAGAACTGCGACATCAAGAGTTTCAAGTAGCTTTAGTTTCTAACCCAAAATACAATCCATAGTATTCAGCTAGTCCCCTGACGCAACAAAGTTCATCATCTATTGAGTCCCACGGCTTCATATGTGCTTAGGAACGCATATGCTGAAGAACGTATTCATAGTACCTAAAGCAATTTGCTTCCTCAGTCACACCAACGGGATCTAATTTATTCATCCAGTCTACAAATACCTGGCCTTCAAATCAGTGAGTATTAGTTCGAGTAAAATTAGCACAATTGCTTACCAACTCCTAACAGTTTCGAAGTATCAACATGTTGTATATACCCAGGACGCTGTAAGCTATTGGAGTGGTCAGAGCCATTACATAATTCACTGTAAAAAGTGACTTACTTCTGACCTTCTTTAAGGCCAGTAAACCGGCGCTGCACATTCAGCCAAGTAGACCCTTTCAATAATGCGTGCAGAAAGACAGCGTCATAGGTTTTTTTGGATGGGTCGACGTAACCAACAACGATCCCCATATGACGGCAGCCGGTGCCAGGGTATGAAGGGTCTTTGTCGTTTCTCGGCTCCCAACAGAGCAGGAAATGTAACCACCCTTCGGATACAAGGGGCCCGCCATAAGCGTCGGCAAATTTATACGCCTCGTGTGTCTCGTCGCGTCTTACTACCTGATGTAGTGACAGTGACTTTGGCGGAGTCTCAGGTGTAGTAAGATGAGGAGCATTCCTAAACACATTGCTTTTCGCTCCGGATACGGATGGATGAGTAACAGCTGCACGCACTGCCGTCGCAAGTCCCAAGAGGTAACAGAGCCGCATAGCGGTAGAACGGCCTAATAGAAAGGAAGAATGAAAGTATAACAGTGAAATAGGACAGGAACCATGAACCTTAGAGAGAATAGTTCTGTACGAATGAAGAGTTTCTTCTATGTAGTTTATGTACTTTTTTAAACCGACTAGGATCTAATAATGACTAAACGTCTCAACATTCTGAAAAGTGTAAGTAATAGCTTAAACAAATACCTAATCTTATAAATACGAAGACGTCAAGGGTAAGTGAAAGTTCCACAAAATGTAGAGGCCCTGTCCGCCCTCTCCGATAGCGAATAATATGATCTAGCTAGGTGCATGTTTGATTTAGTTCTGCTGTCGTAAGTAGACCTATCATTTAAGAGCTCCTAGTCTACAGTAGGGATGTCACGAGCAGGTCAGGGCAACCAACTCTGGTAAAAAGCAAAAGCTTTAGTAATAATATAGCTATATTGTTATCCCTTGTTCTGCACTATATAATTATGCCGGCTAGCACCCTAACTGGTTAGGCCGTAACAGGGGACTTATAAGTTTAAGATTTATATATAGAATATACCTAAAGCAGAACTTTATAAGATAAAATTAAAAAGCGTTTTAAGTTATTTAAAAAAAGAAAGAAAATACTAAGTTATAGATTAAGCAAATATAACTATAGTGACAAGTTACAATATCTCATTTTAAATTCTAATTCTTTATATATAAATACTTATTTTAATAAACTTAGAAAACTTTTCAGTTATAGTAAGTTATAGAAGGAGAAAATTATTATTTACACTGTATTACTTTAAAAAAAATATAGGTCTTTAAAACTAAACTTATAATTCTCTTTATAACTATAAGTATACTAAAAAGTGTAATGAAAAAAAAAATATTTTAATAAGTACTGTCACGGAACAAAGTAGATAGATCGGTGGACTAGTCGACCATACCCACGGGCACGTGAATATCCACGTGCCTACCGGGTATATAGACCAGCACACCAGACCTCTCCCTACGAAGGGAGGGGAACAACGAAGAAGACACCTATCTACTGATACTGTTCCTTTGCCATTCCGTTTAGCTCCTTGTTATTGCTTGTCTTGCTTACTGCTTTGCCGTTACGCTTCACCTTCGCACTGCGTCACTTCACGTTACACTGGTGCGATATCCCGAAACTATCGCAGCCCAGCGATATCCTGTCAGATCCGGAATGGCTGCCAGGAGGGCTGTGCCAAGTACTTACTTTTTATTCAAAAGAGAGAAATTAACTATTATATGCCTAAGTTTTGTACTTATGAATACTTTGATAAACTATTAGTCAATTTAACGTGGTGTACTGTAAAGTGATCTCAGACTTGTGAGTCTCCACTGTATGTACTATATTATACTTGTACGAAATTTTAAATAATAGTGCAGTAAGAACTATAATGGAATATTCAATATATTTCTATCAATATTGAACTATAAGAAATACATACGTCGTAAATACCTGATTTCCTTAGCTTTTTCTAAGCAAGAAAAACTCAACTTATATGCCACAGCAGGCCAGGGCATCCAACTCTGGCACAAAGCAAAAGCTTCGGTAATGATGCACCTGCATCATTATCCCCTGTTCTGCACTATATAGTCACGTCGGCCAGCACCCAACTGGTTGGATCGTAACACCAGCTGCCTTCCAGCCACTTTTGACGTTCTGGATAGTAATAGATGCCTCGCGGGCCTTGAAATAACACTCTAGAAATGCCCCTTTTCCAGCAATAGTTGAATCCGTTATCCAGTCATCTAGACATCCAACCTCCTTGCGATAGGACTGCTTCAATAGGCCAAAAACAGCAACATCTAGAGGCTGGAGGACAGCAGAGGAGTGAGGCGGTAGAAATAATAGATAGACGTTATGCTGCTAGCATTTCCACATGAAGTCAATAGATATATGGCTTTGATGCCCATCAAGAACCAGCAGTCTGGCAGCATCTGGGTCCTCTGGTATGGTCCCTGGGGTGAAGACCTTCTGTAGCCATTCAAGGGTAGTTTGATCAGTCGTCCAGCCATTAGCAGAGTATGTGAAGTGCTAACTATTATATCTAGATAGGTTAGATGGGAACTATTGGGTCTGGATGGACTTATCCTTATATATAACTAATAGGCATAGGGACCTCCTATTAGCAGCCACACACTTGATGATAGATATCTATGCCCGGGATCCTAGCTGCTTTTTCTATATATATCGCGATACCGCAGAGCCCAGCACCAGCCCATTGGCTCCTTTGCCCTCTATTATACTAGTTTTATCTATATTCTATCAGTTGGAAGGATGGATCCCTTGGATGGTAGGGATACTGCCTATACGATGGAAGAAATCCTGGATAACCTTGGGAGAATGGGCTGCCTATCGCCGGGCATCTATTGCTCTAGATCGCCTGGTCCCGATTGATGGGTTTCGCCGCAGGAATCGGCGCATCCACTTCCTCCCTATGCGTTGCTGCCCATCGCCCATCATACGCTCTGCTAGGCCCTTCACTTGTTGATGGTTAAGGGGTCTGCCAAGGGACTGTTGAAGGGATATATGGGCAGCCAACTTATCCTCCTGGATCTGGGATAAATGCTGCCTATGGATAAAGGCAGTATTCCTGCTTTGCCTGCCGTGGTATCGATGCCGAAGTGTTGGGTAACCCCCCCGCCCTACTTCCGGGCCACCCCCACATCCGGGCCATTCCGAAACGCTGGAATCCTACCAAAATACACTATGTTTTATAGGCCTTATAAAAACATAGAAATAAGGTTTAAAAATAGGGAAGAAATATTATAAATTACTTTAATACTTATAGAATTATACTATACTTTATATACTATTCTTAGACCTCTTTAAAACTAAGTAATAATAGTAAATACTAAGCCTTTTCTTTTTACTAAGAAAATCTTAGTATTTTCTAAAAGTCTATTAATCTTGAAATCTTTTTAAATAATAAAGTTAACATTCTATAGAAAATACAATTAGACTCTTTATTACTTATATATATATAAAGATACCATATATAGTATATATATATACTATAAGTAGATTCAGTAGTACTTAGTATAGAGAATAAAAGTTAAATAATAAGCTTTTTAATATATCTAGCTATATATAAAAACTAAAATCCCTTTTTTCATATATTATAGTCCTTAAGACTTATATATTATTATTATATAGAAAGCCTTTTTGTTAGAATCACAAGGGCTGGTTGTGATACGGTTAACCGTACGTATCGGGTGGCAAGTGACAAATATAGGGGTAAATACCAATGGTCAACTATGCGTGGCTAAGAAAGAGGGTTATGATCACTTGGTTAGAAAGCGATCAAATACCCTTGAATTCTGGGGAATTCACTGGCAGAACATCCGTACTTCTGCCGCCGAGATATTGGCGTAACGGCTGATATCTCCGGGCGATTGATATCGCAACACTTTTATATTATATATTATTATTAGTATAGAATCTAATCAAAGTAGTTAAAGCTATACTATTATTTTAAAAATTCTTAGAATAATAATATATATATATAATACTACTTAAGACTTAAATAATTTAGTATTACTCTTTAAGTAGTTTTATATAAGATATCTTACTACTTTATATATACTATGTAGTATATAAAAATAATAAGAAGTACTAAATTTTATAATAAAGAATATAATACCTAAGTTTTAAAATAATATATAATATTATAAGTAAAGCTTCTTAAGCTAGTGTATATCTTCTTATAGTACTAATATAGCTATAGTATTTTTAAAGATTTTTTATCTTTTTATCTTCTTATATTATTCTATATAATATTATTATATAACATAGCTTTTTAATTATAATAAATAATATTTAAAATATATATATAGTACTAAGTAAGCTCAAAATAGAATATATTAAGCTCTGTATTATGTATTATATCATACTTCAATATTTTAGTTATTAGTACTATTTATTAGTTTAAAAAGCTATAAGAAGCGTAGGGGTGTTACCGGCCCGGATGTGGGGGTGGCCCGGAAGTAGGGTGGGGGGGTTATGGTATACCCCACTTGTCAGCAGCAGCCCTGTTACCGCTAATCTGTCTAATACAACGCTAATCTACGCCCTCCTCTACGGCTACTACTCTAGCTTAAAGGTTAGTAGTCTCTGGGAAGAGCTTAAGAAGGCCGACGGCGCGTTAAGGAAGAACCTGTTGCAGGTGGACAAGCTCGCCGCTGTACAGCTTCTGCGCGAGTTCTTCTGCCGGACCGCGGACGGCAAGTTCCTTAGCTATCTAATTATGTGCAAGATGCCTATTAACAGGTCGATGGTTGAATGCCGAGTTAATGATCGCTTCGCCCCTACAGTCGCTACGCTAACACGTAAGGTTAACAACGTAGTCCTTACAAAGCTTTAGTCCTCAACCACGTCTAGTACTGGCACCGTCGCTAGCTAGAACGCTAGTTACACCAACCTGCTCGGCAGGGACCTAGACATCTGCTACCTCAACCTCGTCCTCAACCTCCCCGGCCTCCTACAGGCCGTATACGACGCCAAGGCGGCCGATAAGCCTATCCTAACCCTTGCTACCGAGCTGTCGAAAGCCATTAGTTTAGGTAGTAAGGTGCCGGCCCCTAGAGCGTACCTCTAGTAAGGACATGTCCCTAGCGCGATTTAGGATTGACTTGGTACCATCCTTGCCCCATGCTCCCGGCTGGAGGCTTTGCGCGACGTCTGTCAGACCGCCTACTACGACAAGACGACGACGAGTAATAGTGCTACTTTAAAGGCCTAAAGAATATGTTGGTGTTCACTAAGTGGCCTTTTATTACCTACCTCCTATAGCTATAGGCAGAGAGCAATCTAGACGGCAACAAGTACTAGTCCGGCCTGCTTTATAGCGGTATAAGCCCGACCGAGCGGCTAGACCTAATTAAATAGTTTAGCGCCTTCACCAAGCTGAATAGGAGCCTGAAGATAAAGACTAAGATCCTTATTAGTACCTACAACCTCGCTAGCACGGGTCTTGACGACCTTAAGGTTGCTAACTACCTCGTCTACTATAGCGTGAACAAACACGCCACCAAGGTCTCCCAAGCAAGCGGCCGCATCAACCGGCAAGGACAGCCGCTGACCTGCTTTATCTAGTCCTTGTAGTTGTTGGAACAGCCCCTCGACCGTCTAACGCTGTCCCTATGGGACAGCCGCGAAGAGCTCTTTGGGCAGCGGGGTATCCTAGGAGAAGTCGCGTGTTAGTCACACCCGGGCGACACCAAGGTTCAGTGAGACGCTGTCCTTACGCCACGCCGCCAGATGTTCAAAGCAATGTCATGATAGGTGGGTGTGGGTGCGCCTTAAGGGTATATCTAAGATCGTTATTACGATGGAATAGAACAAGCCAGGACCTAGTCGTGTGCACGTGTGACTGGACGAGACACGACTACAGGAGGCGGTATGTAGTAGATAGATAGATAGATAGACTACTAGTGTCTTGACTATTTGTAGAATATTAGCGTAGAGAACGTAGGGTAGATAGTACTTGCCCTTGAAAGCGAACTGGCTTTTTGCTCTCAAAGAAGTTACGGGTCACACGCGGCTTTCCTTGAGCTCAACCTGTTCCTTGTAGCAATACTTAGCCGGAATACTACCAATATCCTCAAATAGGGAGATAAGGATAATGTCTTTACTAACAGGATATAGATAAAAACGTAGGGTTAGCGTCTAAAAGTGTCTAATAAATATATGCTAGGTGCTATCTCATAGGCTAATTTATCTGCTGCAGACCTATAGAACGATGTAAACAAGACGTATTATCGGACGGCCATTAATAAGCTAGCTCTGCCCCAAGCGATACTTAGGCATAGCCCCTCTACACTCTGTTCTACTCTTAGTTAATTAAGTCACTAAGAGAATATATCAGCTGTCTCTTCCTAATTACCTATTCTATTAGGAGGATCGTGATCGGCGCAGGGAGTCAACAAGGGGGAGTATTTACTAGGATTTAACAAGCACCGTATGTGCGTACAGCTTTGATATTAGCAAACTTCCTATTTGGATCCATTATAACAGCCTTCCTCTTCCTACTGATAGTGTTGGTAACCTTAGCCTCTAGAAGCTCTATCTTATGCTGGGCGGCAGCTAGCTCAAAGGACTGCTCTTCAAAGCCCACAGTAACCTGAATATCGGGTGTCCTGCAGTGTTATTTAGTCCATTAGCTTCCGAAAGTGCGTTAGGTTCAACTGGCAAAGGGTAGAAGAGACGCATTCCCTGCTGCGCTGATCATATTAATTGAAGCGGATCGCAGCGTATTGTATCAGTCAAAAATGTATACCGCTTGATTCTGACCTACCCTCTTAGCAGAATCCGCGTTTATATACCCTTACTGTCTCCGTTGCCTAATGCTTTATGGTGACTATATCCATCATATGCCTTGCATACCTTCTGTCTATTTTGGCCCGTTGCGATTGGTACTGCTTCTTAAAATGCGATCATTCGGCCAGGGTCAAATATTCGCTTTGCAGTCTCCTGGACGGCCTCGAAGCTCATCAAGTTGCAACTCCCGCTCTCCAAGTGGTTACAAACGGCTGCCAATGTACCAAATTCCTTACGGCAACTTTGTTTCGGGCAGTGGTAGAGTTTCTGCTGGTGTTTAGGTGATTGAAGGTGCTGATTCAAGGAATCGAGACGTGCGAACCCACTCCCGCAGAGGAAACAATCGAAGGTCTCGGTATCGGCATTCCAGGATTCCGACGTTGCCTCAAAACTGGTCGATGTAGACCACTCCAGTAGTCGTTTGGTCAGCACGCTATTTGGATCACTGCGCTGGACCGCTTCGTAGACTTTCATCCGGTCCAGGGGCGCTTTCGGATATGCACCCTGTTCAAGACGTTGAAAAACGCCGGCTGCCGTCACGCATGAAGCGTTGCAAAAACGACAAGATGCGTTCTTACCCCGATGTTGTTTGCCGTTGCGATGCTGTAGACGTCAGGTACTTGTAGCGGTTTCCGGTTGGAACACAAACCATGTTAATGCTGTTCAGATCTTGGAATCCGCGATCGCAAGGATCACAATAGAAATGTTCCTCAACTTCGTGTTGTCTAAGATCTTCTTCGTTATCGAAAACCTCGGAGCAGGCGTCGAAATCACAATAGTGTTGGGGTTCGTCAGAGGCTGAATCTGCCCAGTGACCAAGGGCATCCATATGCTGTTCGACTGATCTTTGGCTGTTAAAGTAGCGGTCACAGCTTTCGCATTCATAATTGGGAACCTGATGGGACTTGGCAGCCACATGCTGATCGCGAGCCGTCCGCGTCGACCATGTCCGCCAGCATGTGCCACAGGCAAAAGCCATCATCAAAAAAAATTGAAGCTGATATCAAAAGATTAACGCTAAGAGTGATGAAGATAACTCTGAACAGACTGGAATTTCTGCGAAAGAGAAACCCTTTCTATGTCCAGTCATCAAACTGAAGACCTCCCCGCGTGGGCAGTGCGGATGGCAGCTTCAGTGCGCCAAAAACAATGTCACCACCGTCTCAGGAGGTTGACGCCTCAGCGTGGAAATACGTGTCGTACCCCGCTAGTCACTGAGACATGGCGCCCCTTATCTCTGCATCAACGATGGTCATTAATCGGCCTCCCGCAGCTACATCATGCCAAGACTTGATGATAGGCTCTGTTAGGCTGCCCTTCCCCGCTACTCAAGTTTAGCCACAATACCCTGGTTTTGATCAGTTTAGTCTGCATGGCTGCAGGTATCTCAACCCACCGAGACAAGCGACTTAAACAATCGTCTAGGATGTCGTGGATCCACAGTGCAGCCAACTTGTGATAACCCACGTGTCGCCGTAGTAGGCACTTATAAATACGTTGCGTTGACAATTCACAAGGGTGAGCTAACCACTAACACAGACGGCGGGCCTGCAAAGAGAAGGTCGCGGCTAGGCGCAGGAGGCGCACCACTTCGCTTCCGCGAATCCTGCAATATCAGGTTGATTCGCACTTCACTCAGTCCTGAATCTATCAGGGCACCGCGCTCAAGTGGGGGCGGTTTGCAGAGCCAAAAGAGGCTGATCCTTGTTTGCTCCAGTCGAGGGTACACCCAGCCGTGAAATCTATAAACGACGATCGTGAACGCAGGGGGCGTGGTCGCTAAGGGGCAGAGGGGCCATGATGGGCGCAACAGGCTGCGAATAACATCTCTGGATCGGTTCTTTGACGCCCCTGTAACGCTTAGTTGAAGTACGCCCCGGTGATACGTATGGAGCCGAAGAGCCTTTGGAATGAAACTGTTGGAATCACAAGGGTTGGTTGTGATACGGTTAACCGTACGTATCGGGTGGCAAGTGACGAATATAGGGGTAAATACCAATGGTCGATTATGCGTGACTAGAAAAGAGGGTTATAATCGCTTGGTTGGAAAGCGATCAAATACCCGTGAATTCCGGGGAATTGACCGGCGGAATATCCGTGCTTCCGCCGCCGAGATATCGGCGTAACGGCCGATATCTCCGGGCGATTGATGTCGCAACAGAAACTGTTGCGAAGGCGGTGATCCGTCAACGGCTAGCCAAAGATCAGCGATTATCCGGGCTGGTATGTCGGCGGACGCCACGTTTTTTCCGAAGACCAATAAGTATCCAAGGATTCATGTCGAGAAGCTCGTTTGCTCCTGACATGGTTCCTCTGGGCTAAAAGGCCCCAGATGGTTGCGATGCTGGTCGAGCTCCATTCGAACAAAAGGGAGGCCGGGAGTAGCACTTGCACCGGGCTGCAAGTTAGCAAGTGGCTCGCAACTGTAGACTCTGCCAACGAAATCGGCCCGGTGTCTAGAGCAACGGCGGCTACACCCATTTTTTGGACCATGCACTTGCTGACGAGACGTCGGAGGGATAGCCGAAAAGTAAGCCTTGGTTGAGCGGCCCAGTATCGAGTTTAATAAGTGGTATTATGTACGTTCTTAAGCCTCGGCATCACTTGTAGCCCATGTCCAGCAACAGCAATGCCGTCCACAGCTACACTCTACGTACGACACAAAAACGCCGAGGAATAAACCTAAGTTGTTCGTGGACCAGCCCTGCGTTGATTGAAAGCTCGGACAGTACTTCAAGTCGTATTACCCGACTTAGCAAGTTTTGTACTTTCAATCGGCAACGTCGCAACCGCGAAGTCCATTAGATGCTGTGGTCGCGTGCAGGAAGTCGTTCAATGAGGCGTTTAGAGAGGCGGTTCCATAGGTGTCTATCTGTTGGCTGTGATACCTGGGACAGCTTTACTATTGGACACCAGTAATGCCGCCGCGAGTGCCAGCGGTGGAGTAATTGCGTCACAAAGTCGGCGTTCTGAATCTGTCTGAAGTTGCACAATTCCAATATGCATCTTCCCCGGTCGCGTTCTAATCCAATTAGATTCGTTTGGCTTGCCGCATGAAGTTAGAGTTCTAGAACCGATCAGTATGCCGAAAGGACCCACCATATGGACTCAGCAAAACGAAGCATTATCCCTGAAGTTGCCCGATTTGACTTCCCTCGGTGGTGCTCATCTCTTCCATACATTGTACAATACTCAGGAGCTCGCTTCCCTTGAAGGCATGCTTCCAAAGATTATATCAACCATGATCTAGGCCGTCAGCATTCGCAAGATTCCCTGGACGCCATGCCATCTACAAAAAAGAAACCACCTCTTCAGGATAGCCTCGAATGTTGAGAGGAATTCCACCAACTCCTGTCTCGGGCGAAGCTCACAAGCGCTTTGCAATTGCCACGACTCTGCTCCACTTGATTGACCCGATGGGCGGTGAATAGATTCCGCTCAGGTAACCACGGTATTGAAAACTTCGGCAGCGAATTTGAGAGCAGTGATTATCAACTACCGGAGCTATCATACCTTCGTCAAAACAAGACAGCTCAGACTCATTCGAAGTATCTTGACATGCTCCAACGTTGCACTGAGGGGCTTGACTTTGTAAAGCGTTTTGGAGCCAATTCTACTGGTTTCACGTTGGTAAATCGACAGTTTAGCAAGCTACTGTAGACGCCATTTTCCATACGTGGATGTCTACAGACATAAAACTGCGGAATGATGGGTTGTCTGAGCCACGATCCAAGTCAAAACCGGTAGACTTGCAGTTGAACTATCGATAGCTCGTGTGATATCGTACATGCCTTTATCTTATGGAAGGCCTCCTGCAGCAGGGGGGATCACTGTCGTCACGTCTGCGGGAGGCCCACGAAACCTTTGTATGAGTCACTCCAAATAGCTACCTCCTGATCATTTGGGTGAATGGTATGGTAGGAGAAGATTTAGCCAACAAAAGCCTTCGCCAGAGCAAAGGTAACTATAATGCAAATGGAGTTAAAATAGAACCGTCGCCCACAGCTTGAAAGAGGGTTCCCTTTCATAGCTCACAAAACACTAAGAACCTTGTTTGCATAGTACCCCCTCAGAAACCAAACCCATTTTTATGTGGGGTCTCTGTACTGCTGTGGCATCTCACCTCGCAACAGGTTCCATTATCTCTTTACATATAGTGAGGAACGCAGTCTATTCCGAGCGGGCGGTCGTAATACATATATGGTGCCCTTTTCACAAGGGCTCGTCGCGCAAAGTCTGGTGTTGCTTCGGATGCCGAAGCGTCAACATTAGCATATCGTTTGTTCATGTACTGGCGCCGCATTCCTCATTACTTCAATACCAGAAAATAGCATTAGTCAATACATCGCTAGGAGTAACATAAAAGGCCAAGGCAATAATAACATAAAGACCAAGTAACATAGCACCCTTAACATAGTTTAATTTACCGTCCTATATAGTGTACGTGACTACTAGGACAGAGAAAACAAAGGCAACAGTCTTAAACGTCTTAAAGTAAAGAGTCATAGGCTAGTTAAGCACAGCCTATCTAAGGATCACTAGAAATAGAGTAACAAGAAGTGTAATCTAGATGCTGGAGCCAATAGTAACACCTATAGCAAGGTCTATCTTGTTATAGATAGCTACAGCCACAGCTATAGCGTGCTCTGCTACGTTACTAACAATAGAAATAAGGATAATCCTAATAAAGGTCTTACTAATATAGGCTGTCTTAATAATAAAGTTAATACTTATAATAAGGTAGTTAGTATAAATTACAAGCAGAACTATAGTAACTATAAGTACAGCAGCAGTAGTAATAGGACCTATAACAGGCTCTTTAAGCTCCTCTTTATTACAGTATTAGATCTTAGCATTAAAAAGGGTAAGGTAAGTGCGCAGCTAGAACTAGAGGTAAAGGACGTAGAGAAACAGCAGGATAATAGCAGTGCCTTAGGACAGAACTAGAGTATTATAGTCCTTATTAACACTACTAGCCTTATTAAGCATAAAGTACAGCTACTATACGCTATTAGTAGGTAAACAAGAGCGCACTAGATCTACTTACTATAGTAGAGATAATAAGTAAGGTAGAAAAAAGCGTTATTAATAAGTAGGTAGTTTATACTATAACGTATATATATAGCAAGCAGATAATTATAGTAAGCAGACTACTTTTCCTCCTTTTTACCTCTTTAACCTTTATATTAATATTTCTCTACGTATAAACATATAATCCTCCTTAATTAAAAGCTATATAATCCTTACCCTTTAAGCTATTTAAAAAGACCTAAAAATATCTATATAAAGAGTAGCTACTATCTTTAATATCTCTTATATAACACTATATTACTAACATATAGGACGTGTTATATAAGATAAGATATATCTAAACTTAAAAAAAATAATAGAAGTTAAAGAGAAAGTAATTCTTAAAAAGGTTCTTAACCTAATTAATTAAGGGTTTCTTTTATAATAAAAAGATATATAAAATATAGCTAACTAACTCCTAAATATATATAACGTAATATATATTAGACCTTAATAAGTAAAGAACTTTATATAATAATAACTTTAATTAAAAATATAGGTTTAATATTAAATTAACTATTAGAAAGCCTTAGCTAAAAGTCTTATAATTATATAAGGCTAGTTTATACTTATATAAAATATAATTATAAAGTATAAAATATAAGATTATAGTATTTATAATTTTAAATAGACTAGCTTCTTAATAAGAATACTATTATATATAAAGGTTATTATAACCTTTAATTATAAGAAAAGGCTTTATATAAAATAGCTTAGTAATTAAGAATAAGTTTTTATTATTTAAGATATATATATAGATAGCTAGGTAATACTTTTATATATTATTATAAAAAGTAAATATTACTTTCTCTCTTAGTACTAAAATAGCTAATTCCTAGCTATATAGTATATTTAGTTAAGTAAATATAAATAGACTATAAATAAGATTAGGCTATATTAGCTAAAGCA